AGGTTCATAATGATGGAACCATTTTCTTCTTGAGGTCATGTGATATGTTGCTCCCGAATCAATGAGTCATATATCTGCAAATCATTTTCTTCATTCCACGGTGGTTGACGCTTCACAGCATAGATCATCTCCATCATCTGAAGTGTTTACGGTATTGCCTTGTGGATTGGAGTTTTTATTTAGACTCCAACAATCCTTCTTCAAGTGACCCTTCTTTCCACAGTTGTAACACTTTAAATTCTTCTTGCTTCTCGACTTCGATCTACCATGTTTGTGACTGCTGCTTTGGCCACGTTCTGTTGATCTCCCTCTTATCGTTGTCAATGCTTCTGCTTGTTGCAGATATACTTGTCTGTCTTTCTTGTTCTTGCGCCGATTTTCTTCTTGTAGAACATCAACTGCAACGTCATCGAAGACTAGACTGGTGACATTACTGTTTGTCAAGTTGATGATGAGTTGATCATATGAATCCGGTAGACTTTGAAGTAGAAGTTCAGCACGTTCTTGTTCTCTTATTTTACAGCTTAAGGATGTAAGCTGAGAAAATAAAGTGTTCAGTGTATTTAAGTGCTCCGTCACTAAAGTAGATTCTGGCATACGGAGAGTGTACAATTTTCTCTTAAGGAAAATTTTATTGTGCAACGATGTGGCATCGTACAGTTTGGTGAGATGATCCCATATATCCTTAGCTGTCTTCTTCTTCTCGATACTTGACAATACTTCATCTGCTAATGCTAGATGAAAGTTTGCCATAGCATTTCCGTCCATTTCGATCCATTTGTTGTCGTCTGTGAAATCTACTGGCCTTTCGCTGATAGCTGCTAGACAACCGTCTTTCCTCAGGATGGCCTTCATCTTCAATTTCCACAATGAGAAATTTCTCCCATTGAACTTTTCAATATCAAATTTCGTTGCCATTGCTTCGTTTACGGATAGCTCCCACTATTTCACTATCGTGAATAGTTCTCTGGAACCTTCAAAGAATGAGTAATAACTTCTTACTTTCTTATGTTGGAGGATCCACCTTTTGGTGGCAACCACAAAGATAATAAGAAGATATTACACACTCTAATCTAGCTCGGATACCAATTGTTGCGGAAGACGGCTATCGGATAGAGCAAAATCGCAACTGATAATTTGAGAAAATAAAAATGAAGATAAAAGAGACACAAAATTTACGTGGAAAACCCCTAAAAATTTAGGGTAAAAACCACGGGCAACGGTAGAAGAATTTCACTATGAGAAAAATAGGAATTACAACCTCTCAATCTACCAAGGAGAAAACAATGATAATTCTCTCTAGATAAAAAGGAGAAAACAACTCTCAAGAAACTCTCTAAAATCTCTCTAGTATTGGAAGAAAGCTAGAATGCTTTGGGATGATTTTGAAGCTATATGAGCTAGGGTATTTATAGTTGAAACTTAAGGACTAATCTTATAAATACCCTAAATTACAATGACTAAAATTAATTATCCCATTACCCAATTTCAACAAAAATTAGGTGCCTAATTTTTGACTTTGACAAAGCACCATTTGGTACCTAAATTATTTGACTTTTAACACTTTTATTTTTTGTTATTACTTGTTTGTTGTTGTCGTTGATTGGTGTACTTGCTAGGTTTGGGTTGACTGAGAGTGATGATGGGTGATGGTTTCAACTAATGGGGAGTGATGGGTGATTTGTTGTGTGTCAAGCTTAGGTGAGTGAAGCGGTAAAGATGATGGTTATAATGATGGTTCCAAAAAGAGGGGAAGAGGAGCAATCTGCTGGTGATTTGGTCAGTGTAATTCAGGTAAGAAGAGCGCGTTGCATCAAGCCATCAACCCGATAGATATAGACCGAGGAGGTGCAGATGAGACAATCGTCCCTCTAAATTTTTAATTTTTTTAAATTTTTTTAAAATTCTCCCAAACCTATAAAACGGAAGTGCAGAAATGACATGCAAATAAGGCACATCAATATTATTATTATTACCATAACAATTTAGAAATCGTCGATTGTGTAAAAAAGTACAACTTAGTTTAACAGTAACAAATGCGTGGAATTCAATGACAAGAAGCCAATACCAAGTCAGCGGTCGTTTTTGCCATCGACGCCGACAATTCATCAGGCGCGTTGAAATATTTTTATCATAAAATTATGGCAGAAATTCAACAAAACCCTCAAACAAAAGAATAACTCAACAAAGGCGGGAGAAAGACGTGATTTTTAAATAACCAAAATGTACAAAGGAGAAAAACCGTTTTCTTGTACGCAAAAACCCAAAAACCGCCAAGCCGGCTTTTCTTTTTCTTCTCGAAACACGGTCATGACTATTTGTCATGTTGCAACAAATGAACCCTAAGATCTAATTAGCATCTTTAAGCATCAATGAAGTTATCGTAGTAGTTAAAATATTTATTATTACTCTAGCATCGTTTATATACAAATATAGATATTCAATATTTGATGGTTAAGAGTTTTTTTTTTAAAATTGAAAAAGTAGAAAAAAAGAAACTAAAGCTTTACAACTGAAGATACAAGGTATCCATTTCTAGCAGAGAAACTACTACAGCTGGAGGGGACGTTAAATAAATGATCTCCAGAGAGCTAGGATCAACGTTTTTAGCGAGCATATATGCAGGTTTATTGCAGTTTCGTGGAATCCATATAATAGTTGTGGCCCATTCGCCATGTCTAAAAGCATCAATGAACCTTACTAGAGAGAGAGAGAGAGAAAGAGAGCTAAGACTCGCATTCGTATCATTCAACATCTCGACCGCTTTTGCACAATCCGAATGAACCTGCTCAAAATCAAACCCCTTGTCCCGAGCAAATTGGAGGCCAATGAGAATCGCCCAAAGTTCGGCGTGAAGAGCTGACACTACCCCAACAGCCACCGATAGAGCCAAGGTCAGTTGTCGAAGAAACCACATCATCAACATTCAAGCATAACCACCCTGATTCTAGACCCGACCAGTGTGTAACTTGGTGAGTGGTAGCAGTAAAATTCGAGAGCGTGTAGCTGGGTGAATCTTTAAACAAACACCATCTTATATCCACCTTAAATTTATCAAAACAAATATATAATATCTTTAAAACAATTCCAAATTACAAAGACTTTGGGTCAACCATTTGGATAAAATGTTCACATTATTTAATTGAAATTTAAAGAAACCTGGTGAGAGGGTAATATTGAATTTTCCTCCTTTTAATTCTAGAAGGTATTGTTAAATGATAAATATGTACGATTGGAGGGTTTGGAAATGTTGATAACTTGGTTAATAATGTTAGAAATTACTTGACTTAAAAGCATGCCCATAGTCCAGACACCTCCATCTCATGCTGGCACCAAGGTTGTAAGGTTTAAGTAGGGATGGGCATTTAAACCCGACCCGACGGGTCGGATTTTTCTATAAAAAAATTTAGGTTCGGGCCGGGTCAGGTTTAGGGTGAAAAAATCCGACCCGACCCGACCCGAAAAATATATAATTTTATCATATATATTTAGGGATAATTATAATAATACCCCTCTATATATAATTTTTTTTCAATTAAGTCACTATTTTTATTGAATAAAAATAACTTTTTTATTATTTCGGGTTGGGTAGGGTCGAGTTTCTATATCATATATTTAGGTCGGATCAAATCGGGTGAAACCTTGTTTTGGTCGGATCGGGTCGGTTCTCAGGTGGATGCTGTCTTGTTCTCGGGTCGGGTCGGGTGGACCAAAAACCCGACCCATGCCCATCCCTAGATATAAGGTATGTGTCAAAAGTGCTTTGGATAGGAATAGTTAGAAACCGTATAACACAAAAATAAAAATTTGATCATAATAGTTATTACTAATTATATAAATAATTTATTTTTTGTTAAATCTCTAGAAAGATCTCCAAAAACCATCAAATCTTTGTTAACAAAAAAACTCCACTCTTTGAACAAAGTTTCTAGAATCTCAAGAATTTTCCCAAGAACATCGTATCATTTTTTTCTATAGGGATTTTGTATGTCAATTTTAGAACTATTTTCTATTAGGATTATTTTTTGGAATCCATATTCATTGGTCCGTATATATATATAGGGTTAGGATATAATTACATAATGAAACTTATTATTTTTATATCTTTTTAAAATTTGTTAGATGGAGAAAATTAAAAATTGAGATTAACCATCAAAATGGATCTCATATTTGCAATTCATTTTTCTTGATAAATAGGAAAAATTATGGGGAAATGAAATCTACCTTAATCTTGAAAATCACTCGTAGTTATCAATTTACATTCACATTGATAAAATTTCCGGTAGACGATTTTAATCTTATATTTTCAATGTTAAATTAGAAAAATAATTTTTTTTAAAAAAAATAAACCATTTAAAAGGAATTATACGTCTACAGTATTTATTACTTTGATTGTTGTTTGAATTATAACTATAATATAGAATTTAAAAAGATTATAATTTTATAATCAAATGTTCGATTGAAATGATTTTTCAATTCACATTGTTATCGGTTTCATTTCGTATTTACTTTTTCTTTTATTTTTATTTTTATTAATAATTCTAAACTCATTTTTTTAATTTATCAGAATTAAAATTTTATTTTTATTTTTACAAAATAAATCCTTATTTATGAAGATATGCTGCGTATACTTTTACTTTAAAAAAAATTTCAATCCTTTATAATTTAATTTATTTTGTATTTGACCATTGTAGTGTAAAAACGAAACTTTTTAAAACAAAAACAGTGACAAGATTATAACCTTTCCAAGTTTTCCTCTCCTTTGTTATAACATACATCACAGTTTCACTTCAGACGTCCTAAGATTTTTTATTTTGATCCTATAATTTTAATTTTCTTCATTTTAGTCTTGGAAATACAAAAACCAAAAATGCCAACAGATTCTGACAACTTTCGGGATTACTATAGCAATCATAATTCTGTTTGAACACCATTTCCCTAATTTTTTATTTTATTTTCACTGTTTCACCTTAAATTTTCCTGATAAATAATTGGATATTGAGTACAAACATTTCTGTTTGAAATCAGGTTTTTCCATGTAAATGAAAATAATTCTCAGAAAGAACAGGAAGAAGCCTTGCCTTTTCTTTCTTATATATCACTGATGATATATATTACTATGAAGTTGCACCATAAAATTTTTATTATTTAACGAAAGAACTAATTTAAGCACTCTGCAGTCAATGCAATGGTGTCAAGTTCGGATTCTCATCTTCAAAGTGTATCCTACATGTATCAGAGTACGGTACATCTTTGAAACCCGAGAGCTGAAAAGAGTCTTCCACCGGTGGGCCACAAGTTGTAGAACCAACCTACTGGAGGTGTCGCTGCAGCTGCAGGAAAATCCGGAGGCTCACCCCCTTCTGATGAAGAGCCCTCGCTATTCTTCTGGATTTCGCCACTGATCTCATCTCTGGCAGCTTTCTCTTCGACTTGAACTTCCGAAATTTCTCCAGGCTTCTTGTCAAATAGTCCTTTAAATTGTTTCCGAGCCTTCCTCTCAACTTCCTGCTCATAAGTTGGTAGTGATACGTAATGATTTCCCATATTTCCACAATGAAAAAAAAAAACTCTATGGCTAATTAACACACCTGCTCTTGCTTCTTCAGTTTCGCTAGAGCGGCTGTTGCATCCGGTTCTGCAGACTTGTCGATTTTAATCATCTAATAGCATCCAGAAAGAGAGTTAGAGATTGCTAGAGAACCCAGTTTTAGACCAACTAAATGAAATACATTATAACTACCATTTGGAAATCACTTCTTGCTTCCTCGAAATCTCCGGCAGCCATATAAGCCATTCCACGACGGTATAGAGCCTTCACATGTACAGGGGTTGCATCTAGCACCTACATGGTTCCACCAAAACATATCAAGATCCGTAATTTGATGGATTTCGTCGGAGGGTTTAATTATTCAGATAAGTAAACAAGTACAACAGAAGGCAGCTTAGGGTGAAAAGGGAATTCAGATGTATTGCTTTTGATGTTTTTATTTTATTTATTCCTTGGTTTGAACTTAAACCTCCAGACTTGATGTACTCAGAGTCGAGTCATCCCTACTAAATTTCAGAAACCAATCAATGAGTTATGAAATAACATCTGACTATTTCGAATATCGTTAATGCTTCATTTGGGAACTTGGATTTGGATTTCATTTCCTATGTAAATGATAAAAATGAAATGTATACATTAGACACAAATAGTTAAGATTCAATACAATAATTAGTTGAAAAGCATAAAAACATGGATTTACAAATCCAAATTTATATTAGGGATTCCAAAATCACTACTAAATAGGCATCAACCAAATCCATGGATTTGAGAGAATTTGATGGATGTTACATTTAAGCATTTTATTACTCAATTTACACTACTGTTGAAATCCAAATCCAAGCCCCCAAACGCTACCATAACTCTTGTAGGAAAATTATTTATGATTGTTATAATGTATCTTTCCCCAGGACACCAATAAAATCACAAAACCACCTTCTTCATGATTAAAGGAGAAAAAGATGAGAAGTTCAATTTAACCTTATTACAAGCCTCAATGGACTTTCTGCATTCACCCATTTTGAGGAAGCAAGCGGCCACATTCAGATGTAACAAATTCTTCAAGTAGTAAAACAGGAAAAAGATTAGCAAACTCCAGAAACATGTTGATCTAACGTCATGTAATAACTGGTCAATCACAGAAAAGAATAGACCCTTTCAGTTAGCATGAGGCAGGATGACACTTACTCTTGTGTCTAAAAACACTTTTCCGTCCTCATCAGTTTGTGGATTCACATGATTGAATTCTCGAAGAACCTACATATAAAGCAACACAAGGAATTGAATTACAGATTCACTTAAATGCACCATAATAGGAAAATTGCTACTGGTTTGACATGAACGTCTGTTAATTATGCTTTATTCAAGTTCACTTTCAATCCATTACCATGCATCTTGGATGGGATGTTTAACATGATATCCAGACTCAGGTTTTTTATCACTTCATATATAATTTGGTTTTTACCATTTATTATCATTGTTTACCTCATTGGGCCTATTTGTTTCATTGTTAGTATTGGGTACTGGGAAATATATGATCTAGGAAATACAGTAACTACACTACCTTATCATACTTTGCCTTGGCAAGTTCAAATTTTCCTTCTTTGAAGAGTCGATTACCCTGCATACAAATGATAGTGTAATGGTTAAATATAATTATATGAATAACATGCCTTACATACAGCACAAAAAAGACAAGGGTAAATAATTATTTTGATTTAGTGCAATAGAATGCAAGCATACATAGGGAGATGGGAATCCAAAGTACCGGACATCCAATAAATGGATAAATGGCTCATTGACGAAGATACAAACATAGAGTAAGCCACATACCGTAGCTCTAATTTTTTCTGCTTCATCCATAATGCTCTGGAAGTTCAAACCAGTCCAATCCTGTAATAAAGGTTTAAATTAGGAACTAAAGCAAGTAAAAGGAACGATTCAACTCTTTCTTAATAATAACTTGGTGCATACTGATAATTTAATGACCATATCATAGATAAGTTCCTACAATAAGACTTTGTTACCTTTGGCATCTCAAAACCAAGAAGCTCAATTTCCCATGCAACATGAGCACCTTCAGGAATATTAGGTGGCCTAATCAAATAGAAAGAGAAGGATTCAGGACATGCACAAAATAATAACATAAAATAAGATATATTTAGAGGGGGGAAAACTGACCTGGAAAACTTGTCATATGCATAGTCAGGAGGGCAAGTGACCAGAGCAATCTCTCCGGGAAGCATCAAGCGAACACACATTTCAAATCCCTCGGGGACCTGTACAGAAAAATAAAAGGCAACTGATTAAGGCATAAACAGTCTTAGAATGATGATTTTCTTTAAAAGAGAACAGTTTGGTAGGCAATTAACATTTGATTTCAACCATATATGTTATGAATGTATAAATAGAACCAAACAAAAATGGACATCCTTCAAGAAGCCTGTTCAACTTTACTATGGTGAACTTACCAGCCCTTCCCCGGAACTGAACTCCAAAGGTTCTCCCTGGTTATCAACTCTTGTATCATAGAAGACTGTCTTTTTTTCATTAAGAAGCATGCCCTTGTAATGGACTCGTAAAAGACTGTCATGAAGCGGGCAATCCATGGGAAACTCCCCTGGTTATTCCAAACAGAAAAGATAACCATCATTTGTGCAGTCACACAACCAGGGTCTTTGGCAGACAAACTTAAAGGAAGAAAAAAATGGAAGCAGTAACTAGCGCTTAATTGGAACTCATGGAAATCAAAATTTTGAAACAACATCCTAGGAATCTTCCCATCAAATAAGAATTGATTGCAAAACTGTTAAATACATATCCCAAAGTAAAACTTTCACATGAATGCATAGGTGAAAATATGACAGAACATGAACTAATAATAAGTTGATTCTCAATGACGATGTTTAATAAAATACCAAGGAGCACCTTTTCCATCCTGCAGTCGTCGTTTAATTAGGCGCCCATCTCCCAGCACATCCCTCACCTATTAGTACATCTGCCAATTAGTTTACCAAATGATAAAACATTTATGAGAGGTATCAATATGAGAGAAATGACTTACCTGGATGAAATGAACAAGCTCCACTTCAAAATGAATTTCTTCATAACCTTCAATCTCAGGCAAGAGGGGAGAGCGAGTTAAGTACTGCTTTGTAACATAAATCATCGCTTTCTCCTTCCGAGCCATTGTTCCTATTCCCATCTCAAGACCTTTAGGTACCTAAAAGTTATGACAGCAAATGCAATATTATATCAACAGTTGCTTAAGCGTAAATAAATGAAGCAGGGTAGATCAAGCACACATTAGATAAAGAAAACCAGGATGACTGAATAAAAAAACCCCAAAATAATATAAATTACCTACCTCACTTTTCCCGAAAGTAAAGAAATATGGTTCTCCTTCTGTGTGTGACATAATTAACTTCCCATCAGCCGTCTTTGCAGAAATCCTGAATGATTTACATATTATGCATCGTACAAATTATCAAAAACATCCTGGAAATTTAGTGCAATGTACACAAAAGAATATGTAAAAAGGCTGAGAACCATTACCAAGCTTTTACTTCATATGGTTCCCTTGGTGATTCCCAACCCTGACCTTCATCTATTACCTATCAGTATTATATAGGCATTAGTTACATGATATATTTCAGAATAAAACAAATTTGGTGCAAATATGAAAGAAAGAATAAAATCCTTGCAGCAAGAGAGTGCAACAAACCAAAAATAATGATGACATTAGAAGTTAAAAAATAAAAAAATAAAAGAAAGGTACAATACCTTCTTCAGAACTCCCAAATCATCGCAAACAACCTGGAAATAGCCATAAAAATATAATGGAATTAGAACTAAAAGAGGCTACATCCAAATCCAACAATGAGATTGAGAGCTAAGTACCATATCATGAGCACCATCATATGAATACTATTGACACTATTAAGAAAGCTTGTAAGAGAAAGAAAAACACATTGTATAAAGGAATTGCTTTGTGCCAAAATGTTATAGCAAAAGGACAATTATCAAAATTTGCAGCAATCTTGTAGTCTTGCCTTGGCTTTGGAGAAATCTATCAACTCAATCTCGAAATGGAGTTCATCTTCTTTAGGGAAACTATTTGGAACTGGAACGGGGCAGTCTTCCTCTCCATAGTGCATTTGAGGTTTCATTTTGAACTGAAAAGAGAGATTAACAGTATATTTTAAGGAATAAAAAGAAATTCCACATCAATAATTCATTTGTTTCCACATCTGTTTAAATATTTTGACCAACAAATATTCTAGAAAGTACAAAGATAATACCATTGCGACTTCACCCTTCAACATTGTCGGAATACCTTCCAACAACCCCAATATCATTTTGCTCTTGCCCAATACATTTCTTATTGGAATGCCTTTCCCTGCAACAGGAATGAATGACAGCTCAGTACAAAAAAGCATATACCTTTAGACAATTCAACTATGTATATTGTTTAACTTCAGGCCTGCACATGTCAAACATCAACATTCTGAAATTCACTAGAAGGTTGCCTATATATAATAGTCACTCTACTTAACATAGCAGACAAAACTCAAAACTTTAAATCTACTCAAATGCTTAGCTATATTCACCTCCATATTCTGATCTTGTAGAGTCAACGACAACTCCAACCAAGGTCCTAACCGTGCAGTGATATATAACCTACAAAGCATCCAAAAATGCTACCGATTCACAATTTAAGTATTTGCATTGCTATTCAATTTTTTTAAAGACGATCAATCCGGCATTCTGCTATCCAATTAGAAACAGATTAACAAAACCAACAATAACCTGATCACCATCTGACGGATTTGATTCACCTCCTCCAGGTCTCATCAAAGCTTTCATTAAGCTACCGGGAACAATTTTTTTTCTCCTATTAATTCCAAATCCAAAAATCATACATAATTTTTTCTCAAAATCTTAAAATTTAAGGCAAAAAATAAGAGGTTGCGGTTACCTCTTATCATCCTCAGATTCTGATTTCTTCTTTGACGGTAAATAGCTCTGCGCAGCATCTTCCTCTACCACCATTGTTAACTGAAGAGTTTACCAAGTTTTTACTATAACGGCGGTTTTTTAACTGAACTACAAAAAGCTTAATTTTAACTAAATAGTTACGATTAACAGCTTCAAAAAGCTCCGTCTCTTCTAGACAGAAAATGAAAACTAGCGATTTTGAAATGAAATTCTAAAATTTTCTTTAAACAAAACAAATTAATATACCTGAAATTCTAACGGTTGAAGAGCAATTGACTTCGATGATGCTTACAAGCGTCCGGGCGAACCGCTCGACAAAATCCGTCTGCTAATAGTGGCCGTTGATCGTATTGAAAATTGAAAGCGTTCTGATTGTGATGCGCTGGTAGTTGATATACCTGATCCGGGCCAACGTATAAGACGCCACATTATTGGTGGTGGGTAGGCCAGTGGGCAGTTGGCAGCATGTAGGGCGGCAATTTCCATTTTTTAGTTCATCGAATTCACTCACTCCGGTTTGTCCAATTGTTGGTATGGTATTATTATGACCGGCTTGTTGGGCCGATTGGGTTAAATATTGGCTTCGTTTTCCAAATAAACATAGGCCCAATGTTTTTAATAGGCCTATATTAAAAACCCCAATTGTATTATTTAATGATATTAAAAGCTTATGACCAACATGAAAAGATAATTATAATGACAAAATTAACTCCCAACATTTTTCTTAAATGATCACTTTAGTTTTTATTTTATTTTTTCAGTATTTTAATATTTAATGTCTTAATTTTTGTCAAAATAGGTAATGCCGGATTAAAACTATTAGTTGAGTAATGCTCAAAGCATATTACTGATAAAATATTTCTATATGTTCTTTAATTACTGATATTTACATATCACTTCATCAAAGTGATGATATGATAATGTCACATCATCAAAGTGGTGATACGATAATATCATATCAATAATATATTTTAATTGTTAGTCAATTAACGATTTTTATCTAACAACAATTATTTTAATTAAGAATTGAAATATTGAGAGTTAAAATACTTCAAAAATAATAAAACCAAATTGATCGATTAGAAAAACATGTCATTATGTCGACTCTTACCTCACAAGGCCAAGTGGGTAGGGCTAAACCCTATAACAAAATTTGACAGTGTATTTTTCAATCTCCAATAGTCTGATGCAAGTTGTGTATTCTTTTTAAATCTACATATACATGGATGGATTTATATGGAATGGTTATGTCTTATAGTCGCTTAACCAAAACTTATTTCAAAACAATACAAAGAGGATGGGGAAGGGAAAAAAATGTGCAGTGAATAGTAATACACTTCTCCCATTGTTGATATAAGCAAAGAATAAATGAGGGGTTGTCATTGCTTTTGGGTACGAAGAAAAGATTTTGTTGGGATTTTGCAAGCGAAATCCGATAACAATCATAACCGACAAATATAAGGGGTAGGCATGAATTTGGGGTGTGATGGCCAGCCGTTGCTTGGCTGTTGTTGGCGGTGCAACTGCTAGAGCCACTGTGTTTTTACTGTTTTAGTCTCTGACTAAAAGAAAAATCTGCACAGAAAGATCACAAAAGATACAAAGTAGCAGCCTTAATGTTCGATACGCTTTGGTACTCATCAACAATGCCAAAATAGGAGTTTTTTTCGAAAAATCCCCGGTGATCGGTATATTTATCGATCTAACATCGGTCAGATTATATTTTTTGATCTAACATTCTTAGCAGTAAAGCGCGTCCCCTGCACCGCGTTATATGCTGATTTGGCGCCACTTGGGGTAAGGCGCGCTCCCTGAAGCGTTCCTTATGCTGACATGGATACACGTGGATAAAGCACGTGATAGGTGTGTAATTACACCTAAGGCGCGAGGCAGGGGCCGCACCTTCCCTGTGAATCTGACACACGTCAGGAAGGCGCGCCGCAGTATAATTACACAACTACCATGACTTCAATACCCCCAAACCTCCCTATAAATACCTCTATCCTCAATCACTTTCATCACACCAAATTCTCTCAACTTATCTCAAATACTCTTATAATCTCTTCTAAGTTATATTTTATTATATTTTTAATATTTTGTATTTAATTTATTTAAGTATTTAATATTTTACTTATTTAATTTTTTTGCAGCTATAAAATGGCAGACGATCTACTTCGCTTGGATGCAAATCATATATCTCGACACTTTGCTGATACTGTAACATTTTAACGTTTTAATTTAATTTAAATTATTAGTAATAATTTGTTGATTTATTTAATGCGTGATTATTAGATTAAGAATTAATTTTTGTAATTATTTAATTTTAGGAGAAGGACTGTGTCTTGCCGTATTTAGTAGAGGTTGGATTCGGTTACATAGGTAGATATCAGGGTCACTGTAAGATAGAGCCAGACCTGATTTCTGCCTTAGTAGAACGGTGGAGGCCGGAGACCCACACATTCCATCTTCCGTGCGGAGAGTGCACGGTTACACTTGAGGATGTTTCTATGCACCTGGGGCGTCCGGTGGATGGAGATGTGATATCGGGGATCGCGTATGGTTCCTGGACTGCTTTGTGTCGGGATAATCTAGGACATGTCCCGAAAAATTTTAACGGTGGTCGGATACCGTTAAATTGGTTAGATGCCAATTTTCGTGATTTGAGCGAGGACGCGTCTGAGGATGAAGTTAAAATGTATGCACGGGCATGCATACTGTAGCTGATAGGAGGGTTGTTGATGCTGGAAAAATCGTGCAACCAAGTTCACTACATGTGGTTGCGACACCTTGGCGACTTTCATCTGGCCGGATCACTCAGTTACGGCTCGGCAGTTTTGGCTTTCTTGTATAGCGAGATGTGTCGAGCCACTGACTACATGCGTAATGCTATCGGCAGATGTCTCCTGCTGCTGTAGTCTTAGGCACGGTATCGATTGCCCTTTTTATGTCCCGTTGTCAAGAACCCATTCGTATTTCCACTACTATTGAGGTAATTGTAAAACTGATTTCGTATATTAATCATTTTATACAACGTATAATATTTTTTTCCTCGAATAGGCGGTCTACTGATAGGAAAAATCATCAGGAACTACCTGATGATTTAGAAAAAATTAGAGTGCTCATCGATCAGTAGGCTGGCACACAGGTATGAATTTTAATGTTTAAAAATCGATTTTAGATTATAGTTATATAATTAGATTATTATTTTGATAAAAATTATATATATTTGTTTTAGTTTGAATGTGTGTCATATTTTACTGAAGATGTGAGGGCTGTGATCCTACCTGAGTTGAGGGGCTCATCAGAAGTTTGGATGGCGATGATCCCATTGATCTGTTATGCAACCGTCGAGTGGCACTTTACTGATCGCGTGCTCAGACAATTTGGTTGTTTTCAACCAATTCCGGAAGCACCTCGCAATATGGACGAGTTGCATAGCACAGATAGACGCAACAAGACAAATACAGATTGGCTAGTGAGGCATCATGCGTGGGTCGTGTTGTAGGAGGATCGACATCGGTACCTTCCCCGTAGAGAGCCCATTTTTTATGACCTATTGATGGTTGCTGAGGGTTATTACGAGTGGTTCAACAGTAACGGGAAACCATTTCTTCTTCCCGAGGATGCACGAGGGTAGACATTTCCGTGACATGGATAGAGACGTTCACCGACACAGCACCATTGTCCCCCGACTCGTGGACGGAGAGTAAGTGCTTCCGGTTCATCCTCAGTTGCACCAGCAGAACCTTCACATCAGCCACCGTAGCCATATATGATGCCGCCACCGCCTTTCCATTACCAGATGCCGCGCCGTCATTCCCTTACCCAATGTCGCCGCCGCCACCATCACTTGGTTTTATGACTCCGCTGCCGCCACCGTCACAGATGACCCCTCATAGAGGATATTATGGGTTTATATTTGTATATCCGACTTAGGGTTCATATACTGGATATTTGGCGGGTTCAGCCTCATCACCCATGGCCGTAGCACAGACATCTCCTATATAATTTTCACACTCAGCGATGTCTGGGTTATATGAGTTTTCCCAGTTTTCGCAGGCCGGTGGGATAGTCAGTCATACACCTCCAGGGTCCTTATTCTATGGAAGTGCTTCATCGTCATCAGGTTCTCATATACCTACTCAGAATGACGACGACGACGACGACGATGATGGTGGCGGCGATGATGACAGCGAGAAGTCACAACCAATGATACGAATAAATCCTCCTCGAGACCGACAGCCATCGCCCTGCGAAACACATTCGCGTCGCAGGCATCGATATATTTTGTTTTTTATTATATTTGTATTTAGTTTATTGGACTTTTTAATTGTATTTTTTTTATTTCTCATCTAATACTTACTTTATTTTGTTAAATTTGTTGGACTTTTTTTTTAATGTATTTCAGTTAATTTTGTTTATTATCATTTAATATCAATTATTGTAATTTGGTTATCATTTACCATTTAATACTTATTGTAAGTTTGTTGTATTTAAAATTATTTTGAAATGCCAAATTGTTATCAGTTTGATAAAATTTAATGATTGTGTTCGATAACTTTCTTAAGTTTGTCACTTATTATCTCTTTTATTATAATCACATATAACGCAAACGTTCAATCTCGTATTATTGTATCGTTTTTTTAATCTTCATCAGCGATTATCGAATGACATTAACTTGAAGTAAATGCAAATTGAAGTACAAGAATTATTATTTGATAAACAAATACATCATTTCCTCATCAATTGTTACTTGATGGCAACAGAAGTGGACATGTTTTTCTAGTGTGTATTGGGTTTCTACAATGCCCACATCTTCTGTCTTGTCTATATCTTTCTCGAATATCCATATCGCAATGAATTCGATTGGATTTTGGACGACCACGCTCCCTCAATAAACTCGGATTTTGTACAATTGGAAGCCAATCTTGAACCTATGGGGGGGAACTCAAATTCGTATACCTTAAAAACTTCAGATAGTAAGTATACGGGATCCATAAAATGGTTATAGTCTTGACGTGTATACGAGCAAGCTACTATCACATGAGATTATGGATACTTCAGAGCTTGAAAAAACCCGCAGTCGCACGTTCTGTCCCTTAGATTTACTCTTAACGACACAACTTCAATCCCTTGAAGAGGTCGCGGCAACTCTGTGACACGAAACATTTCATGCCTTCTAGAGAAGCTTGTTACAGATATTCCATTTGATGCAGAAATTTTTTTCTGTAGATCTGGAACTAATCTAGGGTGATAGACATGACCACCTTGCATCCAGGTTTGAGCTTGTACCCCGAGCTTCGCAAAAAGCACCCCCAAACGAAAATATATAGTCTTTACCAAAGCCGCTACTGGTAAGTGACG